TGCAAGCACTTACACCACAACACAAAGAAAATAGACACAAAAGAGCTAAAAAAATGCTTCGCTTGGCGAAAGTGGTGAACTGCCGAATTTGGTTTTCCCCGCCACCGATGAGAAAACATTCGTTGTCCAGCAATTTGTAAACCAACAAAATGATCGTTTTTACTTGCCAAAGAGGTCAGCACCTTCGGTTGGCCACCAGAACTCAAGCGCCGGCCATGGTGATGGTGTGGGCTGCCATAACAGCCGATAGTCGCTCTTCGCTCGTATTAATCGACCGTGGCCTCACAGTACATGCCGAATATTATAGCGAAAATATTCTGGAGGGTGTATTAAAGCCTTGGGCAGGCAAACATTTTGGCCGCAGACCTTGGACATTCCAACAGGACTCAGCACTCAGCACGCGCCACCCAAGAATGGTTACAAAATGAGGTTCCTCGCTTCATTTCCAGCACACAATGGCCACCAAAGTCTCCGGATACCAATCCTTTGGACTATTGTGTCTGGAGTATTTTGGGAAGCAAGATTGGCATTAAAAAATACAAAGTGTCGATCACCTCAAGAAAGCGCTTCGCCGAGAAATACCGCCAAAATACCGCAGAGCAACATTCGGGCAGCGTGTGACATAATAAAGATGAAAATATTGGAAATTGTGACCCTTGCGGGTGTGGTACCAGAAGGGGATCGTAGATATATATCATCTCCACCACAGATCTTGTGTTAGCAAAATATTTGGATGTGCGAAAATTGAGGAGAGATGGATCCTTATTTCGCTTTCTTTGAGCGTTTTGTTTTTCAAAATCTTGAACCCAATGTGGGGGAGGTACCAGAATAAATGGTCCGATCTCTACCATCTTTAAAACATATCTCGTGTGGATGAAATTATTGTGAAATAACAAGTCGGAATGGAATCGGATACATCGGATTTTATGATCCTTTTGGTTATTCAAAACTTTGATCCCTTGTGAGGGAGGTACTAAAAGGAATGGTCTGATCTCTACCATCTCTATAACAGATCTTGTGTTTTTGGAAATATTGAGATGTGCCAAGTCTGAATGGAATCGGATGTTAAGTTCGTGTTTTATGAGCTTGATGAATATTTAAAATTATGACCCTTTTTGGGTAGCTACTTGATGGAGTGCAGTGGATATTGTACATTTTTGCACCTGACCTAGCACTGTTGCAAATATGAAGATTTGCAAAGTTGGAGTAAAATCGGATTATCCTTTTCCTTTATACGCAGTAAAATATTTTGTTTGAAAATGTTGCTATTTTGTGGGGGAGGTACCGGAAGGAGTGGACCGATATTGTACATCTCAGAATTCGATCTAAGTTTGACAATAATATTACTATGTAACAAGTTTGGACGAAATCAGATACTCTTTTCGAGATTTATCGTCCGCACCAGCCAGTCAGACGGACGGACATCGCTAGATCGCCTCCAAATTTCCTGAAACGGATTTGGTCCAAAGAGACCTAGTGTCTAAATGCGTTATTTCGATAAGGCACATTTTGGTTGTATCAAATAATGTATACCCTCTCTAGCCATATGGCTGAGGCTAAATCATTAAAATACCGAATATCAGGAGATGGAGGCTACGATGGAGGCTACGAAAAAGTGGACTGGTATAGATAATTTTCTGCTCATGATTGCTGTACCCATTGGAAACAGCAAAGGCTTAATCAAATATTCAATATCCAATATCGGGAGGAACCGTTCTATGAGGTCTATACCACAACTTAGGCCTATATGGATAGATCCTTGCAAGGATATTATCAGCCTATTGAAAACAGAAATCTCCAACTTAAAATATATTCGGGTGAGAAATTGGTGAAAAAAAATCAAAAAATATCTTACATCAGGTGGTACTGCAACAATATGGAGGTTATACGAAAACGTGGGACTATAAAGACCATTTTCAATACCCAAACTTATTTCAATAGAAATATTCCTAAAATGCAATCGATTAATCTTTTATTGGTATACTTCGGCTGCTAGAGTGATTGCTATAGACGGACAAACCCAAATCGGATTGGATTTTTTTGCCGATATCCAATATCCATATCGAGGAGTTACAAATGAAATGTCGAATTTAATACACCCCCATAGTAAGGTGTAGAATATCCTAACAAAACTTGTATAGTTTGTTGCTAAATTATTGCTGAAGGAACAACAACAAATTATTTTATTATTCAATAATTTATGTTCCCCCCAAAATAAAACAAATTGCATTTCGAAATATGTTTAAATAAAAATCCAAAAAATGCAACAGCAACCACAATAAGACCACAAAATGCCGACTAAACAAATAGAAAAAAACAAACAAAAACATTAGCAAATTTGGATTCCACAAAAATTTCGAAAAGTAAACGCCACTGAAAATTATTGAATTTCGTTTAAAATGAAAACAAAACAATAACAACAACAACGAAGCAATAAGATCCAAAATTTGTTGTTGCTATTGTTATTGTTGTTTCGTTCGAAAAAGTTCAATATCGTGAAAACTATTAACACTGGATGTGTATTATTGCGTTTGTTGTTGGTTGGTTAATGTTCGCAATGGCGATGATGATGTTTTTGTTGCTGGCGTTGCTGTTTCTGACGCCGAATACGCCGTTGATGACGAAGAAAACCACATGTTTTCCTTTCGCTCTCATTTTCAAATCCGACAACAAATGGCCAACTAACTGATGCGATAATTCATTGCATTCTCGGCCGTTCGTTTGAGGTTAGTTTTACGTCTGCGCTTGCCATTCGCACAAAAGCTAACCAGCCAGCTAGCGAGCATGAAATGCGTAATTTTTTTTGCCGCTAATGAGTGGCATTCTTTACGTATTTCTGGCTATTTCAGCTCTTCGATGCGGGTGTTTAGTGTCTGTTAACTGCAGTACTTTAAATTGCTTAATTGAAATGGTATCAGGTAAAAATTTGCGAACATTTTCTGGAAGAGAGGAGGCAAGTGTTGGGCGGAAGTGCCAAACAATGCAAAAGTGTGAATCGCATAGGGGAACTGTTACTTTTGGGGTTTTAGAAGATCAAATCTACCCGGTAGCAATGGCATTGAAGTCCACCTAGGCCAAGTGGGCTAGAGTTTAAGTTATCGCCTAGTCTCCGTCAAGAATTAGGCAATTACACATTTATCGGGTATCCGATTTAATAAAATGTTATCAATGGAAACCCCTGAATACCACAGAACCATTTTGAATATTTGAAAAAAAAAATCGATTTTTTTATTTCAGAAGGTTATACATTTTACCCGAATGTATATTGAGGGATAGTAGGAATATCCGATTTTTTAAATAGAGGCTAAAATAATCATTTCAGGAGAGGAAAACGAAAGGGGACCTTTTTGTTTTGAAAGACATCGCCAAAAATTGTTATAGAATTCCGTTAGAAAATGTGGCTAAAAATCTCCAAAACCGGCTAGAAAACGACATCAGCAGAAATGGTTCGAAAAGTAAAGAAGCGACTTGGTCGAAAACCGAGTCGCAGTGGCCGAAAAATATCTCGTGAGCTGAACGTATTGCAATATTCCATTCGGCAAATATTGAAAAATGAGCTCAGGGTAAAGCCATTGAAATTGGAAAAAGTGCAAGAACTTACACCGCAACAGGAAGAAAATAGACTCAAAAGACCTAAAGAGTTGCTTCGCTTGGCGGAAAGTGGTGAACTGCCGAATTTGGTTTTCTCCGATGAGAAAACATTCGTTGTCCAGTAGTTTGTCAACAATCAAATCATGGTGTTTACTTGTCAAAGAGGTCAGCTGAAAATGTGCACCTTCTGTTGGCCATCAGAACTCAAGTGCCGTGTGGACCGCCATAACAGCCGATGGTCGCTCTACGCTCGTATTAATCGACAGAGGCATCAGAATAAATGCCGAGTATTATCGCGAAAATATTCTGGAGGGTGTATTAAAGCCTTGGCCATGCAAACATTTTGACCTCAGTCCTTGGACATTCCAAAAGGACTCAGTCCACCGCACTCAGCACGCGCCACTCAAGAATTGTTATAAAATGAGGTTCCTCGCTTCATTTCCAGCACACAATGGCCACCAAAATCTTCGGATACCAATCCGTTGGACTATTGTCTCTGGAGTATTTTGGAAAGCAAGGTTGGCACTAAAAAATACCAAAGTACCGATCACCCTAAACAAGCGCTTCGCCGGGAATGGGTCAAAATACCGCAGAGCAACATTCAGGCAGCGTGTGACGGTTTCATTGGCCGTTCGTGCCAAAGGTTGACCAATTTGAACAAATCTAAACTTATTTTAAAATTTGATGCTATTTCCGATATTTTTTGCTTTCATTTAACAAAATTTAAAAAAAAAATGTTAAAATTATGGCGTTTGACTTTGTTGCAGTTGCATTTTAACCTGTATATATCCTCTATAGCCATATGACTGATGGTATAATAATCATTTCGGAAAGGGGGAAACGGAAGGGAACATTTTTGGATTATATGGCCAAATTCTGGAAAAAAAGAACCTAAAACCGGCTGTAAATTCGGGCTAAACCAAAACGTTTCGTAATTCTTGTACAGATTTTGCCTACTCAATGAGAACTTCGAATACTGACAGAAGATCTATAGCTTCAGAGGATATAAATTTGCTTCAGAGAATATATATTTGTCTGTTACAGCCAAAAAGTACCTCATCGAAGCAACAGTTTGAGGACACATAAGTTATATATAGTCATGCCGTCGATCCGTCTGTCTATCTGCGCAAGATAACTCTCAAAGGAAGTATTTGATTCATCCAAATTTGGTATATCGTACTAGATCAAGTTCGGAGATGGGCACTATTGGTAAACCCCCCAACCCTCTCCCGAAAAAGATCTAACAAGAGCATAAATATTGGAAAATATTTATTTCAACCACAAATCTATAAATTAAAAGCGAAGCTACTGCGCACGTTATTCGACTCTACTGATGCTATTTTATTAATTCATTGTTCTTGGCCTTAGTTTTTTAAGCACGTAATGGTTTTGAAATGAAGAAGTCTTACCCAAACTATGTACAACATTGTGAACGGACAACATACCTGAAAGTAGAAGAAACAAAAACAAAATATTAAAAAAAGTATCAGCCGGTTTTTGTCCACAGATATATACCCATGTCCAATGTTTCTTAAGTTATGACCGATATGAGTATTTAAAATGGTGACCCTTTGTGGGTTATAAGAGTTAGAGAATTAATCAACATTTTGACCCTTTGTGGGGTTGGTACTTTATGGAGTGGGTCGATATTATCAATTTTCGTCCCTGATGTAGAACTGATGAAAATGTTAGAATTTGCAAAGTTGGAATAAAATCTTTCCTTTGAAATATTGACGTTTTGTGCCAGACTCTACGAGGAGGAGGAGGATCGATGTAGCTCATCTCCGATTTAGAACTAAGTTTGACAATAATATTACCATGTTCCAATTTTAGAACAAATCGGATACTCCGGAAAAATCATCAAATTTTAAAAAAAGTTTAGATTTGTTCGAATTGGTCACCTTTGGTGATGGTTTCAAACGGCCAATGAAACCATCACACGCTGCCCGAATGTTGTTCTGCGATATTTTGGCCCATTCCCGGCGAAGTGCTTGCTTGAGGTGATCGACACTTTGGTATTTTTTAGTGTCAACCTTGGCTTCAAAAATACTCCAGACACAATAGTCCAACGGATTGGTATCCGGAGATTTTGGCGGCCATTGTGTGCTGGAAATGAAGCGTGGAACCTCATTTTGTCACGATTCTTGGGTGGCGCGTGCTGAGTGCGATGATGCTGAGTCCTGTTGGAATGTCCATGGTCTGCGGTCAAAATGTCGGAAATAGCATCAAATTTTAGAATAAGTTTAGATTTGTTCGAATTGGTCACCTTTGCCACGAATTATGACCTTTAAACGGCCAATGAAACCGTCACACGCTGCCCGAATGTTGCTCTGCGTAATTTTGGTATTTTTTGGTGCCAACCTTGCTTTCCAAAATACTCCAGACACAATAGTCCAACAGACAAGGTCTGCGGCCAAAATGCTTGCGTGCCCAAGGCTTTAATACACCCTCCAGAATATTTTCGCGAGTATATTCGGCATTTATTCTGATGCCACGGACAATTAATACGAGAGGAGAGCGACCGTGCCCAAGGCTTTAATACACCCTCCACTATTTTTTAGCGATAATAATTGGCACTTATTCTGATGCCACGGTCAATTAATACGAGCGGAGAGCGACCATCGGTTGTTATGGCGGCCCACACCATCACCATAGCCTTGAGGCGCTTGAGTTCTGGTGGCCAACCGAAGGTGCACATTTTCAGCTGACCTCTTTGGCAAGTAAACACGATCACTTTGTTTGTTTACAAACTGCTGGACATGCTGCTGGAATGTTTTCTGATCGGAGAAAAACGAATTCGTCAGTTCACCACTTTCGGCCAAGCGAAGCAACTCTTTAGCCCTTTTGAGACTATTGTCTTTCTGTTGCGGTGTAAGTTCTTGCACTTTTTTGGAATTTCAATGGCTTTACCCCGAGCCCATTCTTCAATATTTGCCGAATGGAATATTGCGATATGTTCAGCTCACGAGCCATTTTTCGGCCACTGCAACGCGAGTTGCGATAAAGTAGCTTCTTTACTTTTTGAACCATTTCTGCTGATGTTTCTATTTTCTTCCGTCCACTTCTTTGACGTCGCGGGCTACGCTGCCAGTATCACGGTAACTAGCGATGGTACGAGACCCAAAAGATTTCTTCACATATAAATGCTGGAGTGCTCTAACGATAGCCACTTGTGGTTTTCCAGCCAAATATGAAGAAATCACTATATCATGCTTGAATTCCACTACGAATAATATTTTTTTTCTGGAAAATTTTCACCAAAATGCTTTTGTACGTTTCTAAACAATATAATTAGCTGTCACTGTAACAATTTTAACAGCTGTCGGACGAGTGGCTTAAAAATGACAGCAGTCTGAAGTTTGTTGCAGTTTTTTCATCTTACCCTGTATAGACCATACATTTTCGATTCGTCGCCGTTTACAGCAATTGGGCCTCAGTTACCCAACAACAGTTGGTGCAAGAATTAAAACCGAACGACCTAGCCCAAGGCAGAATTTTTCAAGGTTCATGGTTTTCAAGGCTCTTCTTAAAATAATGGGTTATTTTTGATACATTTATAAGTGGTTACCAAAATTCTGTTTACGTAACCAATTATTTGGTAATGGATGAGTACGAAGTCAAAGCTTTTGCAAATCCAACCAAAGCAACAAGTCGCGAATATATTATTTTCTACATCGATTGAATCGCATGAACTATTTATGGGCGCCAGCGGCGTCATGAAGTTTTGTACGAAATTAATAAACAATTTCCACGAAACATTGCGCGATAATAAATCAAAACAATTCATTTACAAATGTTGTCTTTAAAAATAATAAAAAAAAAACATTATTAGATTTTTTCCAATTTTTTTTTTTTTTTTTGTTAATTTCCGTTCATGTCATGGTTTCTGTTACACATTCCGCTTTTGGGTGAAATAAACAAAAATAAAATTAAAAGTTCGAGGAAAACTACGCCAAACAAGAAATAGGAAAAAACAAAATTTGCTTCTTGTTATTATTTGTATTATTGTTTCCGAGCAAGCCTCTGCCCCTTTGGACCACCTTTTCCGTGTGTATGATGTATAGAATGTATCAAAAAAATGGACGACGGTGTGATAATTTCCTTTATTTATGTCGGAATATCACATTGTATAACAACGTGTGGGAAATGGCAAGAAAAAAAGCCAGACTATGAAGATGGCCGAAAATATGATCGATTAAAATTAGAAAAGAAACGCCGTGAACGATGATGACAGCTCCAATAATGATCTTGAATAATGAATGCCTGAGGTGTGGTGGGTTATTCTTAAAAGTGAATTATTTAGGTCATTTGAAATGTTGTTTTCCGTTAATTGAATCTGTGAAATTTGTTTTGCTCGGCCGTTGTAAACAAAAAAAAAACCAATATAGTTTTCATTCATTATTGTTTTTTTTTTTTCTTTTTTTTGGTACGGCCTACACCGCATCTAGACATCGACATTTGTTTTCATTTCAGACAGATGATGTTCATAAACTTTTGCTCATTCATAGTTTTTTTTTTTTTTTTTTTTTTTTTTTTTTGTATTTTTCATTATTTTTTTTTTTTTTTGCTTTTGATTTTCAATTAACCAGGTAATGGGTGTTTTCACCTTTGTTGTGTTATGATGTTATGGTAGGCATATGTTCCAGGAAATTGTAAATTTGTTAATACATGGCAGGTGTATGGAAATCTTTGGGGTGGGGTAAATGTTTACATGCTGTTTTACAAAAGTACTACCAAATATGCCAGCATTGACCTGAAGAAGCCAGGGAAGAATCAGATGCAGAGGTCATTTTTTATACCCTTTGATATCGTCAAAATTTCCCTCATCCAAATAACAGTTTTGGACGGCATCCGTTTCGGTACATTTGGAGTCGATCTAGCAGTGTCTCTTCTTCTGTCTTTCCGTCTGGCTAGTACGCACAATAACTTTCAAAGAGGGTATTCGATTTGGTCTGATTTTTGATATGGTCTGCCAGCATTGACCCGAAGAAATCAGAGAAGAATCAGATTCAGAGGTCATTGTTTATACCCTTTGATATCGCCAAAATGTCCCTCATTCAAATAACAGTTTTGGACGGCATCCGTTTCGGGACATTTGGAGGCGGAGCTAGAAGTGTCTCTTCTTCTGTCTTTCCATCTGGCAGGTACGAACAATAACTTTCAAAGAGAGTATCCGATTTGGTCCGAACTTGGTACAGCGTCATATTTTTACCAAACTTTGATCGAGTTGCGGAATGAGAATAACTTTCCATATCGGATTGGTCAAAGATCAAAGTTTTCAAATTTTCAATTAGTTTCCCCAGAGAAAGAAAACGAATTATCAGTGTTTTTACAAATCCTAATATTTGTATCGGTGTTAGGTCAGGTGCAAAAATTTACAATATCAGCCCACTCCTTCCAGCAACTTTCCCACAACAAAAGGTCAAAATATGGAATAACTATAACTTTTTTAATCCATATATAAAAAAAACCAGACAAAACGGCTGAAATTAGAACCTGGAAATTTTGCACTAGGGTCAGTCTTGGTGCGTGGGCTGGGTTTTTGGAAATTCGTACCTAAAGAAATTCGTACTTAATTTAACACTTTGTATTGGATAAACGGAAAGAGCTAGAATTGTGAAATTGGAAATGAGAGTCACTGATGGAATGCAGGATAGATGTTTGCGGAAGTTCGAATTTTAAGGTAACTAAAAGCTCTGAAATTGTACTTAACTTCTAAAATGATACTATTTGGTATTATGCGAACGAATAGAGCTAAATACTTGAAATCTGCCATGATAATCAAGATTGGAAAAGTGAGGGTGGTTTTGAAAATGTGTACCATAATTACACAAAAAGTACAGAATAGTACTTTTTTGGAATAGTTTTAGCAGGAATTTCGAAATTTTGTATTGGGATCCCTGTTGATGGTAGGTTTATGATAAGGGAGTGATTTTTTTTAAATGTGTGCTACAAGTACACGAAAAGTACTAAATAGTACTATATTTGGTACAATTTGTTATTTGGCAAAGAAATAGTACTTGAAATCTGAAATTTGGTATTAGGTTAGCTATGCATGTGTAACCCCTGGACATGTGGAGGTGGTTTTTGGAAATGTGTACTACAATAATAGTACTAAAAGTACAAAATGGTACTATGTTTGATATTGGGTGAAGGGCGATAGAGATAAAATTCTCAAATTTCATATTTAGATTACTGATGGTATCTGTGTTTGGGATTAGGCGGTGGTTTGGAAATGCGTCCTGATTTTTTTAAGAAAAGTACTAAGTGGTACTAAATTTGGTAATGTTTGCAGGGATAGGATTAGAATCCTCCAATTTCACATTGAGGCTTCCGTTGGTATCTGGAATTGGGATATGAAGGTGATTTTGGATATGTGTACTATAATTGTATGAAAAGTACAGAATTGTACTACATTTGCTACTGGGTGAAGGAATAGTGCTAA